CAACTGAACTAATAGGCCGTTGATGTTACAGGACTCAAATTTATTTATATAATAGATAAAAGCATATTTGCACTTGTGTATAAGAGCAGTTCTAGTTCTTCGTTTTCAATAATACTGTGTTTCGGATTTGTTGGACGAGTTCGGAAAATGGCAGCAATCTACAGCCTTTACATCATCAACAAATCAGGCGGATTGATTTTCTACAAGGTTTGCTCTTACAAACCGGAATTTTTGGGTCCAATTTTCTCTTCTTTTCCCAGATCAACTCCGATCCGTCGATTTTCTTGTTCCTTCCCCAGAAAATGCATTGGCGTTTTCCGGGACAATGGTGGACACGCCAATTGCCGCACGTTTGGGAAAGGAGGAGAGAATAAAAAAAAATCAAACTCTGCTAAAGAGAACGGAATATCTGGATCCAAGTGTAGATAGTCGATACTTATTCGGATTTCTTATCAACAAAATCGTTAATAATGGTTTTGGCTCTGTTTGTTTGTTTGTTTCGTGGGAAAATACAGGATTATGGCTCGGCGGGACGGATGGATACGAACGACAGCTTGAGGGTGGCGAGCTTGTGGCACTCGATGCACGCGATCTCGCAGCAGTTGTCGCCGGTCTCCGGTTGTTCCGGCATCGAGCTTCTCCAAGCCGACAGCTTTGATCTCCATTGCTTCCAATCACTTACTGGTATAGTTTCAAAGTTTCTTTATTTTAATTTATTTGTCTAAAATTAGGTTTTAATTAATTGAGGTTTGATTATGGTTTCTGAAGTTTGATTATTGTGCCCGCTCTTATGAAACTAATCCATGAAAATCCCAAAGTTTAGATTTGTTCAGACCTCAGATTTGTGGTTTTCTTTCATGTTTAGGTTTTTTTTTTTTTTTTTTTTTTTTTTTTTTTTTTTTTTTTTTTTTTTTAATTTTTTGTTTTTGCGAAAGTTTTTTTTTTTTTTTTTTTTTTTTTTTTTTTTTTTTTTTTTTTTTTTTTTTTTTTTTGTTTTAAGCTCTAAAGTTTGAGTTATGGCCCTTCATTCATTTTGAACTTTGGTTTGTGAAGATATGTTAAAAAAGACATACCTGAAGCTAAAATTGATTCCCTCAAAAAAATAAAATAAAATAAAATAAAAAATGCTGCAACTAATCGGCATTATGCTGATAATCTAGCTAAGCCCCGTTTAATTAGTTACTATTTCTTGATGTTTATATGTTGATGTTATGACAATTTACTTGTCTTCTTGGAAATGAAATTCTGCATGAATTCTTTTCTAAGGGGAAAAAAATCAGCTTGAAGTTTTTGTAGACCACGAATCACGGACAACAGTTTTTGAAGTAAAAGTTGTCAAGCATTCCAGCTGATATAGCTATTAGAGTATAGGATTTTGGTTGCTTGGTTTTCTTACAGTTTGGTATCTTACTGAAAGTGAAATGCTGATTGAGGAGGTTTTTTTAGGCCATGAGTTGGAATTGCCAGTTTTCCTTTTCCAATCATGAAGTAATCTTTCTACAACAACAACAACAAGCCTTAATCCTATCTTAATTGGGGTCGGCTATATGGATTTCACTTTTGCACGCAGCTCTATTCGATGAAGCAATCTTTCTAATTGATAAAATTGTTCCTTGGCAGGGACAAAGTTCTTTGTGGTCTGTGAGCCTGGGACACAACATATGGAAGGTCTCTTGAAATTCATCTATGAATTGTATACGGATTATGTCTTGAAGAATCCCTTCTATGAAATGGAGATGCCTATACGGTGCGAGCTTTTCGATATTAATCTGACGCAGGCAGTTCAAAAGGATCGTGTTGCATTGTTGGGTAGATGAATTGCTGAGTAACATGTATTTTAGCACAGAAGCTATTTGCTTGATATGTACATTTTTGAGCAATCACATCTTCCCTTCAAAATTAATGTCCGAGTGTTCAAGCGAGTTAATAATGGTTTTTCTATTTAACTTCCCCTTGGTTTTTGCAAGGACTCTTCAAGAATGTCGAAAGGATTCAAGTTATCTAGGCCAAATGTTGAAATGTTATTGAGTCATTTGTGGTGACTAAATGATGTGGACCAAAAGATCCTTGCTTAAGAAGACTATATTTTGTTTTTAGCTGAAAACTTTGTAGCAATTTGTAAGTATGATTCTATTTGACTTGTAATGTTCTGTTATCCAATGTTCTAACCAGGAAAAAGCTCGCGGTAGATGCGTTAATTTGATCATAACTACACAAAATCACTGCAACAAGGAAATTAGAAATTTGATACAACTTTGATCCATTTATATATTTCGAGAATATTTTGCTCATTTATTTGGAGTATAATAGGGAAATATGCGAAGTAAAACAAACCACTCATCCAATTAAAAGTCCAATCCTTTTGCCGCATAGTGAAAAGCAAGTACAAATATGACATATCAAAAAATGCGCAGATTTGGACTGATAGATGTTTGTGCAAGAACAGATGACAAGAAAGCCATGGCAATAAGAATATTTATCATCTGTCGATTCCAAACCAGTAGGTTCACTGGATTTGGAGTTATGAGGATTCCACGTTCTGATTGAAAGTTTTTCGCAGAATCCGAGTTCCTCCATCTGGTGGGTAGTGGGTAGTCCGTACTGTGCCAGTGCTCAAGATGGGGCGGACAGCGACGAAGATGACCATCAGCAGAGTAGGAAGCATGGTAGAAAGGAGTTGAGGAACTAGGAAGGCATTTTGTTTGTTCAATGACGAGTTCAGAATACAAGAGTGAAGTACCTAAGCATTATCTCATTAATGTGTGCCCTTATAGGGGCTTGTAGTATCCATGCTCATAACAGTGGCAAATAAAATGGATTGGTTACTAACTTCATAATCAAGATACACTAGGACTTTATTGGCTACTAGCTTTGATTACCAGTGGTGTATTTAACGGGTTTGGGTGGACACTACAGCATAATCCACGTTCTACCGATGCTATAAAAGCTTTTCATATCTTTCTTTGTCTGCTACATATCACTAGTTTCCAATAAATAATAATCCATCTATAAACAAAAATATTTGTAGAGTTCGTGTATTAAGTAGATTTCGTATATTGATGAAAATGGGTTTTGGGTAAACCAAAATGAACTAGTCCTGCAAGGATAGTTTATTAACAGATTCGAACAAGATTCCTGCAATTAGGGTTGGGCCAGTGGGACTTGATGATGGTGGCCAAGATAAGGCTTCATTGATACATCCAAGTTTTTAGATTGTAGTTCTCTAGGCATACAAATTTGTAAGCTTTCATCAAAACGAGTATTCAGATTGTACAAGTTCTCAAGGCATATTGCCTTTGGTTTCATTTTAAATCTTAACGTAGAAGTGCAAAAGAAAGAGGAGACAATATATACATCTGGGATCTTTTTTCATTATATAAATAGTTGTCCAATACAGAAGTAAGGAAACCAATATTAGAGACCTAAAGGCACTCACACTGCCACAACTTAATATACTTTTTTTCCCTTTTTTTTCTTTAAAAATATAAAATAAAAAATAAAAAATTCTTCCAATTGCAAATAATATTTGGAAGACAAGAAGAAAACACTTGAACAATATTCTCTACTTCATGATCAACCCTCCAAGTTAAGCAACAAACTAAGCCGCCGACGGGGCTCTGACATGACGGACTGCGCCGGCCTCTGACAGTGCGGCCAAAAGGGCCTCCAATTTCACTTGTTCCGTCGGTGCATTTGCAGCCCCGGTGACGTTCTTGTAGTCCAACGACTCGTCGTTGTATATGTCCCACCATTTGTTCACCAGCATCTTTATGTCTTCCCTGTCCATGTTCTCTTCCTTTCCAGTGAACCTCCAAGGCTTAGACCCCTAAAGACACAAAAATTGAAACATTAGAAATTCATTAATTTCGTGAAACTTGATCAAGGTACTTAATGTTGGTTTATCAATCAATCCAAAAGCTTAACCTATCAAAAAATTGACCACTAATAATTAATGTTACGAAATGTTCGAACAGAGAAACGTCTGCTATGGATAGCACGTTGAATTACCAATCTATTTTAAAACCTTATAACCATTGATCAAGGTACTTAATATTGGTTTATCAATCAATCCAAAAGCTTAACCTATTAATAAATTGAGCACTGATAGTTAAAGTTCGAACACAAAAACATCTGTTCTGATGCCACGTTGAATTTATAATCTATCTTAAAACCTTGTAACCATTGAAAGATGGACCAATAGTAATTTTTACTACAATATACAACTAGCTTATAGTACTAGAAGGTGACAAATATTATATATACTTACATTAGCACAATAATGGACGACTTTGATCTCCTCGAGATTAATATTCTCCGGGTGACGCCACAACATGGCCAAGACAAGATTATAAACAGAGGGGATAGGCTTGTACTTGTCCTTAAAAAACATGTTCAAGAAATCCTGTTCGGCAAAAAGGGTGGGAGTAGTGACTTTGAGGGTGCTTAGGAGGTCATGGTAAGTGGGCAAGCTGGGCTCGAACACGAACATGCCGGCGTTGAAGTAGAGAGGAGGTTTGGGCCCCATGTGGGCTGGCCACTGGACCCTGTTGGGGCACTGTTGGCAGTAGCCAATCTTGTATTGTGGGCTGTCTCTCCAATTCTTCTCGCAGAAGCAGTCCATCACTGCGTAGAAGTAGGAGTCTGGGTGGTTGAAGAGGTGGTCTATGTTGCCGAATACTTGGATGTCACCGTCCAAGTATATCATCTTGCTGTATTCTACGAACTGCAAACAATTATATGCACGTATGTACCAAAGTATTAATATTATTGGAATATTACAAACTTGAAGTTAATTCAATAAAAGGTAAGTCTTGTGAAGACAACAAATTGAAAAATCTAATGGAAAGGATTTTCAGCCCAATTAATCAAACTTACGTACTTAAATCTTGGTAAAATTCAAAGTATAAGGGGTTTCTCTAGTTAAAATATATATATATGGTTAGTACATAATAAAATATATATACTGGTTTAAAATATTACACGAGATCATACTTCTAAAATTTTTTTTAAAAAAAGAAAAAGAATGTGTAATCCGGGTCTTTGGCAAAGAGTTATTTTTCAAAGGTGCACATATTCAAATTGAATTTATTTTCTGAGAAGAAATACGTGTAATACATGTAACATGCCGGTATGAAAGACACGTACCTCCCAAATACGAAGCTTGGAGTAATTAATAACGTAGTAGGCCATGGCGAACTTGGTCTGGTTCTCCGGCGGGTGGACGGGCTCAATCTCCCTGATCAGGCAGCCCTGGTCCACCAGGATGCGGCGGTGGTCCTCCGGCACGTCCGGCAGGATCGCCACCACCAACGGATACTTGCTCTTCACCTTCCTCAGCCCCTTGGCCAGGCCCACCACGCCCTTCCAGTAGTCCCCGTCCCCGGCCAAGAATGTCACGTACGCCCGGCTCGGTCCTGCAGTCACGGGCTTTGAGATCGGCCCGGAGATGGCGGCGGTGATGATATCAGGAGCCATGTTGAATAATATGGAATAAAATGAACTGTTTAAGTGTTTTGATGAAGTTTTGGAAAAAGGGGTTTGCTTGATTGAGAAGGAAAGTTGCTTGTGTTTGTAGTAGTACTTGATCACTTGAAATTGGTTTGATACGATGGAGTGTTGGGGAGGTGGGGGGTGTTTATATAGGGATTGGGAGGTGGTGTGGGGAGGATTTTAATAATAACAAAAGAAATAATTTATATTTATATAATTTGATCCTCCATTAATAAAGAAGATAATAATATTAAATTATTAAGGCTAATAAATAAATAAATTCGTGTGTGTGAAAAGTTGGATTATTGGCAAGCCCTTGAAAATTTTTATATTGACAAGACCACTTTGTTTAGAGATGGTCCCCATATACGTCCCCACTAATAAACAACATTTTTTTTTTTTTTTTTTTTGAGAGGGAGAGACCACACTAAACAACTTTGTGATCACGCTAATTCTACTTGGTTTACGAAAAGATATGCATTGTTATCCCCCATGTATAAATAGTATAAGGACTTGTAATTAGTAGAACTCTTATATTGTTATGCATGGGATAAATATTTTGGATGGAGATAATATATGTGGTCTACAATTGTTGTCTCATTACTGGTCCTACTAATAAAACAGCTTACCACATCTAATATATATCAAGGGCGTATATCTCTATTGTTTCACAAATTCTATTATCTTTGGTTAATTATTTATTCATCGATAAGATCATAGACAACTAGACAATATATCGAGACTAGCAGATCTTTATTTAGCGTTACATTAATAGTTTTAAAAAAAAAAACAAAAAACAAACAAATTTGTTAAACAATATGATCATATTATCTTTCTTTGAAACAGCCTGTGATTTTACTTGTTTAGGCAAATGAACAAGATATTATCAAATATTTTGGATAAAACGATGCAAGTCTCTCACTGTATCTATATTATACCGAAAGACCTTGTCTTGTTTAGTTGCAATTACAAGTTTGACAAATACTGCATTACCTTTAATTATTAGCTAGACAAGCAATTGCAAGTTTGACAAACATTGTATATATGCCTTTAATCAGGTAGATTAATTTTAAGGTAATCTATATTTTAGGGGAAACTGGTCATAACTACATTCCTTGTGAACATGATTAAAAAATATATATATCCAGAGTTCCACTATTTAGATTCTAACCCAAAATTTGAAAATCAATTATATTTTTCTAAGGTAAAATGAATTGATCTTGAGCACGCTATAATCTACTTAAGTGTCGTTTAAACGTATGGAAGACGTGAGTTAAGAAAATTAGAGTCTGCTTCTTTCATTTTCCCCCTTTTGAGGGTAATAATATGCTAATTGGTCAACACTACCGATTCTCAATTTCCACCAAAAAAAAAAAATACTTTTCTGATATTCGTATGGTCAATGAACTGTGAACAGTCTTCCAATGTTACACAGTCTAATCTGAATAATTTATGTGTAGAAAAAAAAAAGAAAAAGAAAAGAGATTTATCCTTGTAATAGTTGTTATGTCAAGGAAGCTTCCTCATTTATATTTACACAAACTAAAAAGGTAAGCACTTTGAAAAGAAAATTTAAAAAGAAAATAAAAAGTAGTCTACTAGGGAATTAAAGCGTGATTAAAAGATCCTAAGAAAAATTAAAGTGCTATTAAAGAAAACTTTCTTTTGCATTAGACGATATTAGAAAATACATTATCTACATATGTTACAGGTTAACAACCACCGCCAAATACCCACCGTCCAGGGCCTATGGAGAGTAAGCACATTAGTTACCCAGACACGAAACTCACACGGATTCGGGTCCACGTATTCATCCACTGGACGCGTGGCGTCCTTTCAGACGCCCGTTATTTTATTTATCCGCGTCAATGGGTACTGAAACCTGAAGTGGGGTCCACCGCCTATGAAAAAAAGCCACGTAAAACATGATTTAACAACTCCTTGGCAACTGTCTTATTTCCCCGTGGGTCCCACCGTATCTGATGCGTGTCGATCGCATGCAGTTTAGAGGGTAATCTGACGCCACGTGGCAAAGATAGAATTTCCTAAAACCATTCTAGTTAAGTTAGTTGGTCGGGCAAAAAAGGGCAATTTATAAATCGAAGAGTGTCGAATTATAATTTGTTAAATTTAGGGGGACATTAATTAAATCAAAGATAAGGTTTTTGACTGAACCGACCATTTTTATTTAATTTTCTTTTAGATAACGTTTTCTACGATGATGTTTGTTTGGATTTTGTAGTCTGCCGACCTAATTTGCACTTTCTCAATGGCAAAAACAGAGAACTTGACTAAAGACGTTGCCCTTTGAGAATATTCTATCATATTCTTCTGGGTACGTTTCTTCATTTGAGTATCTTTTATTATGATACGGTGGTGGTAGTTCTTTTTTTTTTATAAATTTTAAATTTAAAAGAAGACGTGTGACTTTTAGGACGATCTCTAATTTAAATGTTAATATTAATTTTTAGACATTAAAAATACGATATATATGTTCTTTTTATTTTTATTTGAATGTATAATGTTATTTTAAAATGTTAAAATTTTATTTTTCATAATTATTAAGTATTAAAAGTTGTAAAAGTAAATTTTTAATTTTTAATAATTTAAAAAGTAAAAGTTGCACTGATTAAATGAAAAACTAACCATATCAATTAATAAAAATTAATTATCAAATCAGTCATGATGCTGTATTTGGTGAAAAAATTGCTATAAAATAAAAGTATGTCATGATGTTATATTTGGTGAAAATTTACTATAAAATAAAAGTATATGGCAAATTTATTACAATAAATAATATTGTATTAGAGAGTGTTTTTTTACACTCAAATACTAAATTTACAATTGACGTATTACTTATAACATTAGATTGAATATGCTTTTAAAGACTAAAGATCCTTATAATATGGTCTTCCCGTGTCCACCCCTTAATTTTAGCGTCCCCATAATTCATTGGTAGTCTTATAATATCAGGATCTAAAATTATGACACCGATATCAATTCACAAATGTATCATTCAATTCTAATAAATCTTGTAATTTTACTAAGTTTTACAAGAAGACATGCATCAGCTAACGACTAAAGTTTTTGGGAATCTGGCATTCCACCTCTTAATTTACTGCCTCCAAACGTTAATTAGTCATTTTATAAATGTTGGATCTAATTCACGACATGGATGTCATTAACATATGTAAAGCCATAATTTAGTTAATTTTCTAAATGGGCATGTATCAGTGAAGGGATAAAGATCCTTATGATTCTTGCCTTCATCAATCCACCCCCTAATTTCAGTGCCTCCATCAAAGATTTATGTGTCGTTTTATAATATCATGGTCTAAATTCATGATACTGTTGTCAATTTATAATATATCGTTCTATTTGGAAATTCAAATAGAGTTGCATTTTATGATTTCAGCGTTTAAGTTTGTAAGTACATTGCACTTTTGATATTGGTGTCTATGGTACTTGTTTTTGCCCTTTTTGCATATCTTGTTGTTGGTTATTATTATAGGTTTTGATTATCATAAAGTTTTTGTTGTTCAATTTTGTTGATTATGATGATGAATATTATTGTAAATTATAAAGTTACAAGTTACTAATAATAATAACCATAATTGTATATTTACACCAACATGGTATTTTTTCAACTTTGTAATCTTGTTTTATTATCATAAAATTACAAATTTTATCTCTTGCTGTTAAAGATAGCAGTGTAATTATGCTTTTGGATAATTTCATAATATAAACACTAAGGCTGCATTTAGTTGCACCGGTTGAATGGCTATAATAATAGTAATAGTAATGGTAATGGACTCGATGAGGTGGTGGTGGGTTTGCTGCGGAGAGTGACGGATCTGGTGGAGGAGGCCGACTTGCTGGGCAGAGCGGTCAAGGAGAGCGAAACATGAGCTTGTCAGAGTGGATCGTCAGTGACGATGGAGTTCAGATGGGTCTGGGCGAAGGAGCTAGCAATGGTGGTGGTGGAGGAGAGAGGCTACTGGTGATGATGTTCCAAAGGAAGAGAATGGCAGTTGTGGAAAAGAATAAGAAAAACAGATATAAATTGTCATTCCTCCAATTTGAAAAATAAATGATAATTCATCTAAAATAGTTAAATGATTATTTCTTTTAAACGGTCTTTTTTTTTTTAAAAAAAAAATCTAACTAAATATCATATTTAAATTACATTCCATTCTTTTTCTAAACTTTCCTTATTCTCGCAACCAAAGGCACCTTAAACAGTAAAAGTGCACACATATTTATGTTGCGAAGCCATTTTTCACATATCTTAGTTTGGGCTAGAGCAAGCATGGCTTCGTGGGCCCAAAATTAACAGCTCTAATGCCAAATGCTTCTGCTGCTGGGTGTTTGCAGAAAAAAATAAAAAATAATAATTAAAATAACTTGCTGGGTGTTTTAAAGTAATCCTATCTTTTCTCCACAACTTTAGCGGCAACCAGTAATATTCTAACTGCCTTTCATTGACCAGAATAAATTATTTACTCTCTAGACTAAAGTAAATATTCCACACCGTTGATTGTTCAAATTTTTACATTTACAAGCATGTCTTGACGCTATTCTTGTGCTAATCAATTTAAAATTCAAGTTAAGGTCTTGGCATAGAACCTTATCTGGATAATGTTTGAACTTTAGACCAATATTCTTAGGTGATGTTTACCTTCATGCAAGATAACATTTACAATACAATCTTATTGTCACTTTTTCTTTTAGACAATACTTTATATGACAAATTATATTTATTTTTCTTAAACTATAAGCGTTGAACAAAATACTCACTAAACTTTATAAGTAATAAATTTTTCTTTTGAACAATTCGTTGTTAGCACGCATCCCCCTTTTCTACTCTCTCGGTTAAATTTTGAACGTTCAGTGTCACGTGAAAGTCGTTGAGACATTTAATTTTTATTCTATTCTAAAATGATGATTTTGCCCATATAGATTGGTCAATCTTACACAATCAGAAGCATCCCACGCCTCACTCTCTTTCCTCTCCCTTTCCCGTGCACGACTACCAAGCTCCAGCAAGTATTATGGCGTCCATTTTCAACATCTCTCGGCTCATCGGAAAGCTCTTGTCGAGCTGAGTCTACATTGGTGTCTTGCGGCTACCAACTCTATCGAATGAAGGCACACTTTCCAGCCGAAGTTCCGAAAAAATTCAAAACTTCCAATGGCCATAACTTTTACGTCTGACCTCCAATCGGAGTGATTCCGATCTCTATGAACTCAGATTAATGAGAGGAACAAGACCCACTCGAAGTTTGTCATCACTTCCCACCAAAAATGCTTCACCGTAACCGGCCTCCACGGCCGCCACACCTCCTCTCGAAAAACTGTAGTCCTGTCGGTGGTGAAGTGCACCGCCCCAATCATTTCACTCAGAATCCATAGATGAGTCAATCCCGACCAGTAGCCGCCGCCATCCTCACCGATTTGCAGGAATTTGAAGTCGCCGCCGCCGCTCACCGTGGAGGAGTTTGGTTCCATCGAGTTTGGACGCCATTTCTCATGTCGTTGGTGTCAAAACACTAAAAGTAACTGGGTAACAAAAGCCCCAACTCAATTTCTCCGATCTGTGGCTCAAAAACCGGGAACCAAGTCGCTGGAAACTAAGAACCAAGTCGCTGGAAACTGAGAACCAACCAGGGAAATTTGAATGGATTTTGTCCTATTTCTAACTCAACACAATACACTACAAGAAAAAGGGATTTTTGCGACGACAAAAAGTCATTGTAAAAACCCGCATGTCATCGCAAATAAAGTTTTTTTACGACGATGTATCGTCACAAATTTGTCGGCGTAAAAACTTTTTTTGCGACGACATAGTGTCGTCGCAAATGTATTTGCGACGACAATCGTCGCCAATACGTCGTTGCAAATTTCTCGTGATATGATCCATTTTTTGCGACGACATTTCAAATTGTCGTCACAAATAATCTTACTTTTTTACGACGACAAGTCTAAAGAAGTCGTCACAAAAAATCAAAATTAATTTTTTTTTATAATTTTTAAAAAATGGTAATTAATTAATTTTTAATATTTTTAATTAAACATTATTATGTTACATACTGAATAGAATTTATTAAGATACATTAATAGTGAAATATAAATTAATATTAAAAACAGTAAATCTAAATAAATTTATGAAATATATTATGAATACTACATGAAGTGCATATATAATGTTCAAAAAAATATAAAAGTCTAAATAAAGTGAAAAATAAAAAAGTACATATAACGGAACTAATCGTCTAAGTTTGCAGCATCGCCAGCATCTGAATCATCATCGAAACCGTCATCATCTGAAGGAGCCAGAGGAGTGTCTAGGTTAATTGGTTTTGGATGATCAATCGTAGGTAATTGGATGTTGGGCTGCAATTTAGCCACCAACTCTAACACCTTCACCTGATTCTCATAAATCTTAACTTGTTTCCGGTACGATTTCTTTAAATAACAACTCATACGTGGGTCAGGTTAAGCCAATGATGTTGTGCCCGGGTATGAACCAACAGATGAAGGAGAAGCTCCGGAGTAATACTTTTGGGAGAGCGTCGGACCCACTCATATCTTATGTCCTCTACACATGGCAAGAACTTGCTCCAAAACCCCATGCTCGTCAAAGGCATGTCTAGTCGAGCTTGAAGTAGACTGTGTTCTCGGCGTTTGTTTCTCCTCCTCCAGGGTGTTCTACATAATAAGACATTATAATTGTTTATACGTGTTATAAAACCACTATTTCAGTATAAAAAATTTAATATGAAAAATAAAAATACTTACAAAAGTCTGTTCTGCTTGGGATTAACCCAAGAGGCCCCGCGACAATGCATGTCCACCTAATTGTCTATGGCAAACATCAGCTCTTGGGTCTCCTTACTGACCTGTCAAATAAATTACATTTGTTAAAATTCTTAAATTCTAACTAAATTTCGGCAGCATAACGACTTATTTTTCATATGATCCAAAAATCCAAACCTGTAACAAAAAAACTTTAAAAGATTTCAGCACACTATAGCTGCAAGATGTGCCACCCAGAACAATCATCACAAACATATAAGTACGATAACTACTAACCTTCTTATTGCGATGCTGAGAGTACGATATCTGACCATGTAAGCTTGGATACTTTTGGTTGCTACGATTAGTTTTATTTGTCTCTGATATTTTCTGTTTATGATTAACTATAATAAGTAATTTTAAAATTAAGGAAATTATGTATAAAATATCATCAAGTTGTAACAAATCTATAATTACTTGAAATTTGTCGGTGGAAAACCTATCGCAACAACGATCCCAATGAAGTGGATTCCTCATGTTACTCGGGAGACTGTCTCTACCATAGCGTTTGAAGTGGCGGTGCAGGGAACTTTTTCAGTCCTTGTAGCACTTTGCTGCCTCCCTATCAACTACGGACCTCAGAATATCGTTCTTATAGTTGTAGTCGATGTTAAATCAGTTCTTGCAAAACAGTTTCACATCGTTAAAACGCATTGTTATGTTTAACTTTAGTATAAACTATACAAATTATTAAACAAAATAAATACCAACATCTCGTTCTGAATTGTCCTCTTGCCTATGTCGCTAATGTCCTTCCAAGCATAACCTTTTAGGTGATTTCATAACCTTTTACCCCACCTCGACCTCTACGTTGTCGAGGTTCAGGTGCTATAAACATATTTAAGCATTTCAAATCAACATGTACTACTACATTTATTTATTATATGATAGAATAGGAAAAAAAGTCAGAATAACATACTAGACTCACAAAATGTGGGGAGTCTGTGAGGATCGGGAGGAGGTTGCGCTCCCCCTGAAGAGCATCCTTACACTCATTAGGCCACTTGTATAACACTTTTAAATGCATCAATTTCACTAAGAAATTTAAAGATGAATACTTAGTGCAGCCCGGATACAATCCCACCTGGAGCTCAGAAAGTAGATCTTTAAATTCAGCGTATTGGTGCATCTTTCAGATCCACATGCGTATCATCCAACATTTCATGGTCATCATTAATCCCAGCAACGTCTTGTAAGACTGCAAACATCTCGTCTACTGGTTGATTAACTATTGGGTCGACACTTGAAACCGCTTCTACTTTACCACGGTGAATCTATGTACTATACAATGGATCAAAACCAAATCGATGTATATGTACTCTCACAGTTTCTACTAGATGCATTTCATGGTTTCTACATTTTACACAAGGACAGCTGATATGGCCACTGGAAGTTTCATAATTTTTGGCGACCTCAATATAAGCAGATAACTCATTCCAATATTGATCCGACAATCGGTTCTTCAAATAAATACAATTTTTGTCAATCGGCATTTCACCTATACACAACAACAGACATAACAATTTATTAATGTGTTTAATTAATTTTAATTTTACTCTTTATTAACCCAATTAAATTTTATTAATTAAAGTTTGTTAATGAACTTATTAAAATTCTCGTTTTCTAACTAAATTTTGGCAGTATAATGGCTTATTTTTCTTATGATCCAAAAATCTAAACCTGCAGAAAAACAACTTTAAAAGATTTCGACACACCCTAGCTGCAAGATGTGCCACCCAGAACAAGAATCACAAACACATACTAAATTTCAACAATATAAGAAAATCATAATTCAAATATCAAAATCATAATCCCGAATTCATACAACCAAAAACTACAACAATTTTAAACTAAAAGTACAATAAATATAAAAAACTTACAAAGTTCAAACCCACTAAACGGAGGCTGAAAATAGCGGGATTACATCGGAGGAACCGGGAAACAGCGACGAAGGGGAAAAATCAAACGCCTACATCAAATTGAAACATCGAACATAATTTTCAAACACCGAAATTAACATTTTATTAACATCAAGAGTAACATATAGACACAATTCTTGATTAATCAATGCAAGTTTAAATTTTACATTCTTCGAACCATAAAAAATGACTAAACTCGAACAAAAATCCCTAACAAAATCCCCAATATTCAATTCCTAGAGCATCAAAATTCTCGTAACTCAATCCAAACACGTACTCGATAAGCAAAATAAGAGCAATAAAATTTTCTCGGACGCGCACGTTTGATCTTCCATTTTCTATTTTCTTCTTCCATTTTCTCGGCAACCAAGCAAAAACAAAATTTACAAAAAGAAAAAAAGGAGAAAACCCAAACCTCTTCGAAATCCTGGCGGGGGTCGGGCGGCGGGGGCGGGGAGAGAGAAGGGAAGAGAGAGAGAAAACGGCCGGCGGTAGGGGCGGCGAGGGGAAGAACAGGCAGAGAGAGAGACTTAGCAGGAGAGAGAGAGAAAGCGTCAGGAGAAAATGAAGAGGAAGAAGCTAGGGTATATTAGATCAGACTTATTTGTGACGACATTGTCGTTGCAAATAATTTAAAATGTCGTTGCAAAATAGTCACAGCTGGCAATTATTTGCGACGACATGATGTCGTCGCAAATAATTTTGAGTCGTCGCAAATAATCATTTTTCAGTTTTTGGTGAAATCTTTAAAAGATTATTTGCGACGACAAAGAGAAAATGTCGTCACAAATAACCTGAGATTATTTGCGACGACTTATCGTCGCAAAAAATGGATTCCCTTTCGCGGCAAAAGTCCGCGCCATTGAAATTTGCACACCAAAATTATTTACGACGACATTTAAGTTATTAGTGACGACATGCTTATTTTATTTGACGGGGAGTAATTGCGACAAGATGTTGTCGCACATATTATATTATTTGCGACGATAAATGTCGTTACAAAAAATGTCATCACAAATGGCCTTTATTGTTATAGTGATAAATTACTTTTTTGCCCTTAAAATGAGAGTCACGTGCCATTCACGTGGCACTTAACGTTCAAAATTTAATCGAGGGAGTAGAAAATAGGGACTCGTGTTAACGATGAATTGTTCGAGGCAAAAATTTGTTACTTTTAAAGTTTAGAAGGCCTTTTGTTCAAATGCTTATAGTTCAGGTGAATAAATGTAATTTGTCCTACTTTGTAACTACTTTTTGACTAGTTTATAACATAGCTTTAATAAGGAAAGCATATTTTTATAAGGTAAACAAACGTAGTAAACTACCTACCCTGCGGAAATATTTCTCTTCTAATATAGGTTTGGCGTGATTTATTATGTGGACAATTTCATCAAAAAAACTAGAACATGAATCAACTAAAGCAGAGCTGATAAGAGGGTTTAGCTCTGAAGAACAAGACTCTTTCCAAGAATAATGTCGTCTGTGGAGAAATCAGCCTCTTTCCTGTATGTTCCTCTGCCAAAGTCCAGGATGTAGGAGTCAGCAAGACCTTCCACCAAGTCAAATTCAGGCTTGAACCCAAGAACACTCTTTGCCTTTTCAACCGAGGCAAAGAAATGCTGCACCAAAACAACAAAAGTTTACGCATATCATCGATGACAAAAATGATAACATGAATGATAAGTATCTTGAGCGAATTGAGGCGCAAGTGAATTGCATTTTGTAATTGATGAATTTGTATAGAAAGATGTATTTCGGAGATCCAGATGATGTTTAACCAATCATGTTTTAACACGTCAATTAATGGACTCAAACATTAAAGTATGAAAAAGTAAGTTAAAAAGCATTTCAAGTTTTTTTTTTTTTGCTCTCTCTTTAAAATTAAGTGGGATAATATAATTGGTTAGACGCCATGAAGAGGGACATGAATCCTTAAATAAACACCATAAACTTCTGTGAAGGGTCTCAAGTATTTATTCTCGGTTGTGCACATAAGAACAGAACAATTATTTATCTAGAATACCTGATCACGGAATGGGAATGCCTTCTTTTTGCCAAAGTCAAACTCCTTGGGGTTGTAGTGAATGATCTCAGGTTCAGGAAATCCACCAGCCTTGAAAAGAAAATTATAGTTATAGGATTTGAGCACTGAATGTGACATTTTAACCATTAAAGTTTAAGTTAAGCAAGAAAAACTACCTTTGCACATGCTCTTGCTAGTCCATCAAAGGTGACATATTTCTCTCCAGAGATGTTGAACACTTGCTTGCTGGCCTTTTCGTTTCCAAGAACCTGAACAAAAGCTCTAGCCAAGTCCTGCGAATGTTACAAACAACATCGCGATTTAGAACTTCACTCTTTGAAATTTTGTGAAACTGTGAAATCCGTACTCCACATTTCATAAATATGCGAGTCTAGTTTTTCTAAGTTGCACATTTCATTTAGCAGTGTGACATGACCTTGACGTGACCAAGTTGTGTTATTTGGATTCCTGAGTTGGGTATCGGAATAGGGCGACCGGCTTTCAATCGGTGGAAGAACCACTCTTCAACAGGATTGTAATTCAAGGGTCCATAGATGTAGACTGGCCTTAAGGAAGTCCAGTTAACTCCTCGCAATGCTAGCAAGCTCTCAGTTTCAAGCTTTCCCTTGTGCCTGCTCTTTGGATCAACGGCATCCGTCTACCACCAGCCACCAAAAAGTCAATAAACACAACAAGGAATGATAATTACTTGCAAATAAAAATTTAGACGGCAATAAGCTAATATTCTAAAAAACAAACTCACCTCAAAGTGAGGCAATAAATCAGATTTGAGATATACTCCAGCTGAAGAGCAGTATATGTACCTGAAATTCAGACAAATGTAAACTCTTCAAATTTTGCTGCTAAATGGGAAAACACAACTTGGAATCTAGAGCATTCCAAGCTTGTGAACTTTAGAAGATTATTACTGCTTCAACTAGAACCAGAACGAACACCAAAATAAATATGACAAGCTTCACTACGGAGGGGTGGCAGTTAAGGACTCGCTCAAAATGATTATTCATGCATTGGTTAAATTAACAAAACTGTAACATATTTTCTTCAGAAAGGTTCTAGAGCTCACTGTTCAAGGTTCGGTAGCGCATCCAATATCGGTGCAACTTCATCAGCCTCTCGTCCTGATACATTCAGATAAATATTCATGTTGAAGCTACATAACAAGACACTCTGTTCTAGTTGAAAAATTTAAGGTACAAAAAATAGAAAACAAGTTCACATAAGAAAATGCATACCATTTATGTCATAGACTACATCAAAGCCTTCAGCTGAGAGGCCAGATTTCACAACATCAGAGTCCTTCCTGTCTCCTTTCAAATGCAAGATCTGCAGATAATGAACAAAGCTAATACACTAGGACCATAAAAATCCAAAGAGACACAACAATGAAAAACGTTAAACCTTGGAAGAAAAATCAGTGTAATCCGCATCTGATTCACCGGGCAATTGTTGGCTGATGGGTGCTTTTCCTCTAGTGAACAAAGTCACCTGCAAAACAAATTGTTTGTCTATTATTTTCTCCAATATATCCTTGAGTTAAAAAAAATAAAATAAAAGAAGAAGAAATCATTGCTTAATGATTCAGTTGACATAGTTGATAACCAAAAAGGGGCAAGAATATAAAAAAGAGAAGAGAATGGTAAATGAGGTACCTGATGACCCTCTTTGACAAGGAGTCTTGACAAAAATACACCAATGAACCGAGTGCCACCCATTATAAGAATCTTCTTTGTACTTGATGCTGTAACTTGCAATGCTCCTTTTGGCTGAGAGTCCCTTTTCTTGAACTGCAAGAAGATATCTCAATGTTAAAGAAATAATTCTTTTTGAATTACATCCAGGCTTACTTATTAAAAGCATTTATAGTAAGGAGTACGTGCAATGTATCAATGTCAAGCTCGTTCATTTATACATTTAGAGTCTTAAGTTTCCTACATTATCAATCTCATATGTTGTTTCTCTTAACATCCATTTTTTCTCTGAGAACTTAATTCAAACAACCGGGCAACTTTACAATAGTGTGAAACTAAGAAACGCGGCTCTTGTTAGTTTACCGATTCTCCTAAAAGGTTAAACTAGATTGTGTGAGTAAACTGACAGAAAAGTCGAACACGTGAATATTAAATTTTAAAGAACGCAATTACAGGGTTGGACCATTTGCTCTAGTACTATGTTAGTTTACTAATTCTCATGACTCATGAGCTAAAGTAATTCTATATTCTAACAAGTATTGTATTCAGAAATCACCATTTCAATGAGAAAAATATGTTCACTGACGAATTGTTAACATATTGAATGCCCATAATAGAATTGCTTCACAAAACAAACCAAAAGCAGCGTAGAGCCAATGAAAAACAACACTTTATGAAGAGAGAGATACGATGAGACCTGGACTTGGGCGTGGAGTTTGGTGCCATTGAAGTCAGAGAGAGAAGAAGGGAGGAGAGAGAGAGGAGTCTTGTGTTGTTGCTGAACCACCATCAACCTTGCCATGTCTCTTCACTCTCTGACCTCTTTCTTTCTCTTTCTCCTCCTGTATTCCTTTGGTTTCTTTAATTAACGTCTTTTGTTGGGACTTAAAAATTTTGAACGATTGTTGTTGGTGCCCATTTATTCTTCTATGGCTCTCTCTCTCTCTCTCTCTCTCTCTCTCTCTCTCTCTCTCTCTCTCTCATTCACTCACTTCTAAACAAAGCGGATAAGACAATGACCCCACCCAACTCACTTCTCACCTCTCTTTCTTTTTTGGCTATAAAACGTTGCTCGTATTATATGGTTGTGTAATTGTAGCCACTAGAGCCACAACTTGCTCTCCATGTTACATAAGACGTCACCAATCTCATTGGCTCAAATAACCCAACAACTAACAAGCTTCGTACGATTTAATACAATAATAATTAATAAAAGACCAGCAAATAATATGCTTCCAAGGCCTAGGAAATCATGTTTACGTAAGTATTCAATGCAAATATCACTAATTAACGCGAATTATCACTCCAATTATACGCAAAATTAGCAATAAAACAGGCTAAAGTCTAGATATCGTTCTTAGAAAATAGAAGTCCAGATATTATGCTCACTTTAGAGTTTAGAATTAACATTAAATCTAGGGAGAAAGAGAGAAATAGGCCAAGACATGAGATTAATTAAAATTAATATGCTAATAATTTACATAAGTTAATAAATAGGCTAAATTAGGGTATATTTAGATTAATTACACATAAGATTTCAAAAATGCCCTTTTCACTCAAAAAACCCTAGCACCTCTATCTCTCTGCTCTCTCTCTCACCGACCTCCGCTCTCTCTCTCTCTCTCTCTTCCCTCTGGCGAACTGTTTCTTCCCTTCGCCGCCCTCCCACGATCACTCTCTCTTCCCTCCGACAAACTGTTTCTTCCCTCCGCCGCTCTCCCACCATCACTCTCTCTTCCCTCTGGCCCTATAACGCGATCTGTCTCTCTTCTCTCTGCATCTCTCTCACTCTCATCCCTCCACCAATCACAGATTCTCGTCCGCCACCGTTTCTCTCTCTTCTGTCCGTCACTCTCCGAAACCTTGCCGGTGTCGTTAGACAAGAAATTGAAGACAGACCACAAACGTCGGAAATCAACAAAAGAACAAGGTAAATCCGTTAATCAATAACTTGAAAACCACTAATTCATTTGAATATGTTAATATTGATTGACAGACTTTTACCTTATGTTTGAGATTGAAACTTAAATGAAAAGATTGTAAACAAGTAATTATTCAAAAATTAAGAACATGGGATCGTTACAACCATAATTGGAATACTATCGTATAGTAAGGCTGTATCCAGTGCTGCAACTTCAGGCGGCGGGCATGCCCGGTGCCTGAAAATTTTCGGGCACGGTGGGCAGGTGCCTCTTGCTGCCCGACCACGGTATTTTTCGGGCACGAGCTCGGGTAGCCCGAAAATATTCATTCCCCCGACTGCCTGCCGCCGTGGAGAAGTCGTCCCCCGCCGTTCGCCAGATTTTTTTTGAATTTTTCAGCATTACCCAAAGTTGCCTGAATTGTTTTGCCCGTTGCCCGAAAAATGCCCAAATTTCTTTGACCGTTAGCCCGAAAAATGCCCGAATTTTGAACCAAACGGATCTTTTTTGTCCGAACCCGAATTTTGCCCAAAATTTCAAACCCAACAGTCAGATTTTTTACCGTTGCCCGACCAGCCCGAAATCTGCCCGAACTACCCAAAAATTATACTAGCCGTTGGACCCGAATTTTTGGAGGAAAAAATTATTTTTCAACCCAAAAATTTTCCTATAAATAGCCCCCCTCCCCCCAACGATTTTCCTCACCCAAAAACTCTCATTCTCTCTCAATTTCTCTTAATCTCTCTTAATCTCTCTCAAATCTCTCTCAAATCTCTCTTAATCTCGCTTAAATCTCTCTTAATCTTTCTCAAAGCGCTCTCAATCTCTCTTATTTTTCATAATGGCTTCTTCTGGTTATGGTGGTGATATTCCCATTGATGTCCAATTCAACATCAAAGAAGGGAAATTTCCTAATGTTTTTCAAACGTAGGAATCGCAAACTACGGAAAGAGTTGCTGAGGAAACTGTAAATCTGACCCCTGGTGGACGTACTAGAGGTTGGGGACGTAATGGTGGTGGCACTGGTGGGCGTGGAGGAGAGGCAAGCGGTAGTGCTAGTGCAAGTGTTGCAAGTTCTAAAAAGAAATGCAAGCGCACCTGAGCAGTTTGGGAGCACTTCAACACATTCGAAGAGGTCGACAATAACGATAACATTAAATACATAGCTCAATGTAAATATTGTGGTGAGAAATTACAAGGTAATATTATTCATGGCACTACACACTTAAGAAGACACTCTGAAAAGTGTCTTCAAAAGTAAGGAGGTGGAGCTTATCTCCGTCAAACGCAATTATCGTTTGACCGCCAAACCGGCGGTCTAAGCACGTGGAAATACGATCCGCAAGTTGATCGTATGGAAATGGCACGATTAATAGCCACATTAGATCAACCACTAAGTTTTACTGTACAAAGAAATTGGCAGCGTTATATTAAAATTGTACATAATCCTAATGCCGAATTTTTTTCTAGAACTACTCTGAGGAAAGATGCATTAAAATTATCTAAACAAGAAAAGGGAGCATTAATCAACCTTCTACACTCTACTAGCGGTTGCGTTGCGTTAACAGTGGATATTTGGTCCGCCGTTGCCAACAAAGATTATTTAGCTGTAACCAGACATTATTATAAAGGTTTTAATTTGGATAAGAGAATCTTAGGTTTCAAATGTGTTATAGGATCACATACTGCCAATTTAATATATAACACAATTTTATCTGTTATTGATGAATATAGTTTAAGAGATAGAATAATGGCCATAACATTAGATAATGCAACTGCGAATACTAAAGCAATAGAACTTTTTCAAAATGATTTAAGTTTATTC